CAAAAAAATATTAAATCAAAAATATATATACTCGTGAATTAATTTTTTTTATGTCTCAAGAAGCTATTATATTCTATTTGCATTATTTATTTTATTAATTAATTTACCAAGTTTCAATTTCCATTCCAATATCGATGTTTTGCGAATTATTTCCATCCCTAGTCGGTGCCCGGCTTTCGACAGCTCGTGAGTGCAATCAACTTTAGGAATTTACAGTGATGTATTCTTTGATTTTGTGTCGTCATGATATTGAATGAACAGACTGATGACGCCCACACATACTGACAACAGGTAGCCACAAAAAATACAGGTAAAATGAACCATTTGAACAGGTTCACTGAGGGTTTAGGCTCAAATCACAGTAAGGCAATTATCTATCCTTTAAAAAGGAACTTTTACTAGCAATTTAACACAAATCTGATTTATTAATATAATAATTAATTATATTAATATAATAATTATTATAGTTCCAAAAGAGTAATGTCAGTAAAGTAATTTACATTCGATATGTATATGGCATTATATTTAGAAAAAATATTAAGCAAAAATATATATGCTTAAAAAATCTAAAATAAAAAATGACTATATACTAATAGACAACAAAGTGTCGTTTGAAATATAAATTAACTATTTTATAAATATGATAGAAGCTTTGGGTTTTTAAAAATAAGCACTTTAATATCAAATCAAAAATCCCACATATGCGCAGTAGCTAATTTTACATAATTATTAATAATTTTGGTGAAACAAGTCACTTTTCCATTTATATTTTTATTAGTTTATAAAATTTAATTTTTGCTATTCATTATGTATGCTATACTTTATTTGATTATTCTTTTTATTACCACTAAGCAATTTTGTATTATAAAGCCAGGTGCACACGACGCCAGTATTGCTTGTAACATATTTTCTGTCAAGCTTTTATAGTAAGGTGTTTTTTATTATTATTATTTTATTTAATTCTTTTAGATATAAGACAAGATCATCACATGGATTTATCCTGATACATAAATAATTTCTGTGTACAAGTTCACCTTATGATAAAAACTTGACAGAAAATATGTCACAAGAAATTCTGGCATCGTGTGTCCAGAGCTTAAGATTTTATAAACCTTGATTGACAATATAATAAATAAAGATAAATGGTGAAAGAAATGGCAAGTTCAAGATTGTTCTTTGCATATTTTTCTCAAAAATTTTGATGTTCTCATTAGTTGAATATCAAAATTTTCGAAAATGTTGATTATACTTATTATTTGATATATTATTATACATACAAAGCATTAATTTGAAGAAAAAAAAACGATTATTTATCAAACATAGTTTATTATTCATAATTGCACATTTTTATGAAACTTTTCAGGAAAAATATGTATTAATTCTAGTCTATTTCAAAAAAGAGTTTAGTTTTCTTATAGATTTGTATGTTTTGTATATTAATATTTAATAAAAAGAACAATCAAATAAAGTATATATTACAACATATATAATAAATAACATAAATTAAGAAACTGAAGAAAACACATTATATATTATATATTTAAGAACAAAAGACGATAAAATTTTATTTTTAGACAATTATTGTAAATAATTAATAATTAATTAATTATTGTAAATAAATGATACTTTTATTTAAACCACTATTGCCTACATTTTAGTGTTAGAATTTTACAAAATAATAATTATTATTAATCTAATTGTAAGCATTTATTTTTAAAAAAGAATTGTAAGCATTTATTTTTACGTCAAGCACTTTAGTGAACAAATATTGGTTATTAAAAATTATTATCTTTAGACAATTATTACCTTTATAAGTTTCTTAAATGTTATTATTATTTAAACCATTATTTTCTACTTTTAAGTGAAATATATTTTAAAATTTATTAAGAAAAACGTTAGAATTTTACAAAATAATAATTATTATTAATATAAGCATTTATATTTGAACAAGGAAAAATACAAAAATTTATTTATACATTCAACACTTTAGGGGAAACAAATACTGGTTAATATAGTGTGGATACATTTAAATAAAAAAAAACATTTTAGATATTCGCAAATTAAATACTATTACACCCCATTATCTGTATTTGCAAATTCACATACCTGAGTCCTGTTCAGTATATGAGGGTAAAAGATGTCGACCCCAATACTAGGTATTTGGGTCGCTGGTAAAATATGCAGTTTTGAAATCCTGCAATTCTTAGAATATAATTTTAATAAACCATAATAATTCCAGCCGGAAAAATCTATATATATTTTTGCAAAGAAGGTTATTGAATGGACAAAATCATTCGAAACTTTTATAGACATCTTGATCATTTTAGTGTATGCAGGCTTAGATGCAATTTGTCTGGAACTGGTTTTCTATCCAATTGGTTTGAATAATTTACAAATGAAGCTTCACAGATTATAGTTTATAGTTTTCTTCAAATATTTTATATATGAGTAAATCTTTATCAAGTCAATATAATCTTTTTATCACCAGAGTGTCGGAATTTGTGAATCATCACTTGATATATTCAGTGCAATGCACCTACCTATTCATATTTTCGAAGACGTTCAGTTTCGTTGTCTTTCGAAGCAAAGTATATGAATCATCACTTGATGCATTGAGTTATTTTTAAACTATGTCTGGAACTCATGAGAATTTAGATTTTATTGCACAAATGCGGATAATAAGTAATTATATTATTTAAAAGATACGGGGCCAAAGTGGCCCAAACTTGTTGCCGACACATTTCGTAAATTTTAAAAATTGCAAGTTCACGATTATTGAAGTTAGATAAGATATTTAAAACTAATATTAAAAATCAGTTCTTATCCAAAATTGGGGACAATCCTGGATTATAAAATATTAACATAGGACAAGCATTGAGAAAAAACGGGACTATCCTGGCCAATCCGTAGCGTGTGGTCACCTTCTTTATTTACAGGAAAAATTACATCTTAATCATTTCGTCTGAAAATGATAAAAATAATATTAATTTATAAGCATTTTTTATGCTCGTGAAATCTTAAAAGTTTTGCACCCAACTTCAAAAATTAAGATCATAATCAAGTAAGCCTCTTTTGAAGTCATTAAATAAGTACACAATTACTGCCTGCCAGATAATAATATATAAAATATTAATATAGGATATATTATATAATACCAATTACAAGACTAATGACTAATCACTTCAAATAATTTAAATAAGTTCAAATTCTTCTTTCCATAGCCCCAAAGAATGAAAAAGCAGACTTCTTCAATGTTTGGATCAGTCTACTACGGAGTATCATTTCATAAAACGCTTATTATACAAAAACTCAATACAAACAAGAGATAAACTTGTGTGAAATAAACACGTCCGACGCCACATCAGTGGTACTGAGATCACGGCCCGCAATTATAAAATTAATAATAAATGGTTGTCTGCCCGAAGACAGGTCCAAGGGGTAAAATCATCGCAAATGAATGATTTTCTTTCTTTCTCCTATATAGTATTAACTGTTATGACTCATCTACTACTATACTATAAAATTATTGTATTAATTCGGAAAATTTTAGATTTTTAGCAGTAAATGCAATGACTAATGAAAGATAATAGAACAAATTTTCTATCATAAGACGAAGTACTGTAAATGTTCATTGATACAGAATAATAATGCACAAAATTGCTTCTCACGACGCATTACATTTTTTTATAATATATTTAACGATTACCTCATAGATCATTTTATTTTAGTTTACTCTATATAATCACAAAATTTAAATTTAATATATCGAAATTGGAAAGGTTTACTACTGGGTAACCTTTTAGATCTAATGTTTAATATTTCATATATTATCAAAATTGCTGAAAATTATATTTTGTAAAAATGTCTTGAAATTATATCTTCCATTAAAACAAATTTGAAAAAATTGAGGTATTTCATGCTTGTATATTTACTTGAACTATATATTTTATTCACTTTCCTAAGAAAGTTAATCCGCCAATTGAGGTAGTTCTTTTGGATAGAGATTGGGCATTTTCGTTTAAAAGAAAAACCTACACAGAAGCCATTGGTTAAGCATTATAAATGTGAAAAAAAAACCTTTTCATCGGTTTGAACATCGATCGAACTCAAGGGTTCTCTTGTTGTTTTTTATAAATCAACCCAAAGAGTTGTCCCATCAGTATGTGATAATAAATTGTATTATTATAATTTCACAAAAAAATTGAATTTTTATTGATGCAGCAATGCCAGTGAGGGCTATTTTCATTGGAAATCATGTTGTTATCTATATTTTAAAGCAAATACCTATGTCACTACTTTGTGAGGTTGCTCGAAGAGAGTATCGAACCCGGGACCTCTAATTTAAATCCCGTCGTTCTAACCAGTTGTTTAGGAGCAAGGCCTCAAAACACTTCAATATACTAAAAGTGTATATTTTATCAATGTGACCCGAAAAAAATAATGATTGATTATACCTGAAATATCAGTCGCTGTACTACACTACGACAACCAGACAGAAACGGCAACAACGTACATAACGTAATATTGTATGGTTTGTTGCCACGTTCGAAAACCAGCTGCTCGTTCAAAAATAAAAACAAACAGTACGAAATCTTCCTTTTGCATGTTAAATTAATATTTAAAATAATTGAGACGATCGAGATATTAATAATATTTTAACACTGTCTTAGTTGAGCGCGTTGTTTTATTATTTCTGCTTGTAATATATCAGATATGAGCAGAAATCAAATCTAGGCTATTCTATAAGCATTCTAAAACTAAGCTAGCTGCTTGATTTTGGGTTGTCTTAAGCAAAAATTGTACCTGGTACCTCTCAGTTGCCTAAGAGCGACCTTGAAAAATATACTTGGACTTTAAAGTATGAAATAGTAGACAAAGTATTCAATAAATTTCATTATTAAATATTAATAATCTGAAAAGAAATATTTTAGTATAAATAACAATATTAATAAATATTTATTTCTATTCTTTATTTGGAGATATTAAATATTGGTATTAGTCTATTTTTCACTATTTATTAATTCTAGTCTAGCCTCAGTCAACAAAGTTTGTATTTTAAGTTGCATTTCACAAGCTTGGCGTGGAGGTAGTTGCTTTAATAACACTGAAATATATTGTCCAAAAAGATCAAATTCATTCTCAGTCCTTTTCAAATTCTGCTGCATCGATAAACTTAAAGAACTACTTATGTTATCTAATAATTTAATAGCTTTACACAAATTATCCACTTCAATTGTATTTTCCGATTTTCTCTTCCTTTTTATAGGTTTCGCATTATTATCATTGTCTAACGTTGGTTGTTTTGGGATGCTGGTTCCCGAGGTTCTTGCAGAAACACTTGGCTGAGTGTTATTTAAATAAACTGTGTTTTCTGAATTGGAAAATTCACTGTGTACCTCACTTATCTTCAAATAACTTGAATTTGGAGATGTTGGTCCTTCCACTAAAATATCCTGATTCTCATAATCGCTCTCAGACATCGATTCGATCTTCGTCAGAGCATTTATTGTATCCGTATAAACGCATTCTAGAGGATCTTGATTCAAAGATGAATTGGAATTGGTGTTTAAAATTGACGATTCCTAGAGACAAAAATATAATAAAACAAATGAAGTAGTTGTAGCATCTTCAAGTATGAGTTAAGAAAAAACTTACCATTTCATTTGTTTCATTATCCCCCGATTCTGTTAAATCTCCAAGAAATGAATACATTTTTTCAAACCAAGGTAACCTTGGTCTGTAATAATCTTTTTCAGTTTGAGCCGTCATTTTCGAATTCTTAATTTTCCTCAATTCAACATGATAAACAGATCTAAGATTCTTAATTTTAATTCTGATATCATGAACTGTCATATCGACGCCTAACATTTTAATAATTTTTTTGTAAGTTTCTATTCTGTAAATGTTGTTTTTGTATAGAGGCGAATTTGGGTTCCACAAGTTTTCGTGTTCTCCATAATAATCAATAAGTTTTGTCGTAGTATCTGAACCCCATCTCGTAAGTTTCAACATGGTGATGCTCTAGTGAATCTTTGGAACTTTCTTAAATAAAAAGGATATTGAAATTAGTATTATATTGTGGTCATAAGCTACAGGTTACAATTAGATATTAAAATTTAAATTAAAATAAAAGCCACTGTTCAATTGTGATCATAAGCTATAAGTTACAATTAGATTAAAACTACTGCCAATATAAGTACTGACATGTGATAATGAAATTTTATAGTGTTATTAAATAGAATCAATGTGATTAGATGATTTTACATAATTTGCCTAGTTATTACCAATTATAATAAGTTAGAAGAATTAATCAAATTTACAATATATTATAATCGATGCGAACAAGAAATATAAATGCACTAATAAAACATGATTTTTTTAACTTCCCGTAGGGTAAGTTATAGTAATCGTAAAAAAATCGAAAATACAAATTTTTATGTATCTTTACGTTTCAGAGATTTCTGAACATTTTGGCACACCATAGAAAAAATGGATGTATGTGTGTAATTGTATGTGTGTGGGGATACAATTTTTTGTCGCCGATTTAGTGAACACGGATCAACCGATTTCAAAATTTTTGATTCCTACTGATAAGGAGACGTGCGTCACGTCACGTGCTGATTAGATTTTGACAAAGGCAGGTCTGACCGTTTCGAAGATACTGGGCAAAAAGTTCCAAAAATTGTACTTTGGTTTTTCTGATAATAAACCGTTCGATTTAAATAATTGAAATAACATTTTACTTATATTGACAAAATGAACAACTGGTGAATTTTTTGTGAAGGTACCCAGCGCCTACGGAAATCCAATGAAAAAAGTAAAAAATAATGCCATTTGCCGTCGCATTTTATGAAGATTATAATAAAAAAAAAACAAATTTTGTGTACATTTATATGGGTTCCGTACCAATGTTTACACGTTAGACGACCACGCGGCGCTACCGCGCTTTGATAATTTGTCTCTAAATCAGCCATGCAGCGCGATTGCTTTAAAATGTTCAAAATTTTCAAAAACATCAAATTACAAAAAATCTACTTTTTCAAAAAAGTCAATTTTTTTCAGAAATTTCAAAATTTCTCAAAAATCTGATTCTTTCAAAGTTTGCAAAAAAAATCAGTTTTATTTGTAAATTTAGTAATTGGTGCGAGAAGTTTCAGCAGTATACCTTAAAGCACGATGCCATGCACCACTAGTTCTGTTATGAAAATGACTAAAAATTAACTATAAATTAATGACAAATTTTAATTTATATCAAATTTTCTAAAATTTAAGGTGGATTTTTATGGTAGCATTTTTAGGATTGGCATACCAGGACCGATATTTCGCACATAAGAGGTTTATAGAAGTTATTACATACATTTAGAATTTGAATGCAATTTTGATAAAATTAAAATTAGCTAAAAATACGCTAAAAACATGCAGTATGACCCCAGACTATGCGAACATTGCAAAACATGATTTACTAAACATTTAGCAAGTGCGTTAATTCTCTAAATTAGAGTCAATAAGAAATACATATGTCGATAAAGAAATCATATATGTAATATGAAGATTAAATTGTACAGCTCCTAACAACTAACTAACAAAAAATGTATATAAGCATAAGTAAGACATGTTTTTTGAATAAGCAATCCAAGATACGTACCTCTGCAAAACTAAAAAAGTAACAACCGTTTCACTTGACTTATGTAACGTTCTCAAAATCACGTTCTATTTATAACCTCTTCCAAATGCGAGTGTTTCGAGCGTGCGGTTGTGCGCATAACGAAATTTACCTCAGCACTAGCGCGACGAGATGGCACGTAGCATGCTTTCGGCCGGGCGACATCTCCCCTCCAGCTCGCGCTTGTAGCTATGCGCAGTGTTGCCATGTCTACAGTTTTAACAGTTTTTTGGGAATGATCTCAGTTTTGCAGTTTTGGGCTCGAAATCTACAGTTTTTTTGCTGAAGATGCTAGCGCCGTTTATTTTATTTGTTATGCTGAACTTAGTCGCAGTTGCACTGAGTCAACCTCAACAAAACTACTATTGTTACACTAGAAGTAATGGTTATCGATTATTTTAATAGTATACGCTAATATGAGACTAGCGGCGAAAAGCGAAATGATATTTAACCGTTTATCTCTCGTTAATAACCAACCTTTCTGTTGTTAAATATTTTCCTTCTGTAAGTCATTTCTTGTATCTGTAAGTTAATCTAAATCGACACTAAAATTGATTGTTAATATTAAAGTTGAAAACCAACTGGTTTGTTAATGCGTTGGAAACATATCGTTATCAAATAGTCATATTTTCAACATTTATGAATGTAATATATAATCTAAATAATCGATATTTTAAATAAAATTATTCATTGCATTTTGTTTCCAACTAGTTTAAGTTTGATTCAAATCTATCTTTATTAATAATAACATGAAATAATAAATAATTAATGAAGTATACAATATATTGTGTAAGCTGCGATGAAAAACCTATATTCAAGAATTATCGCTTTTTGATAGGTAACGATGTTTGGGATGAATGAATATAACAAAACTGTTAGAGATCATTATTGCTTTCAACTTTTTTTTTCAAAAATACCACTAATGTTATATTTTGTTAGTTGCTATAAATATTCTATTATAACTATATAATATTACCATCATTTAATGATAAAACTGTAGATTTACAGTTTTTCAATTTGAATCTACAGTTTTCTATAGTTTTTTTCTGGCCTATCTACAGTTTTTCTCTATGGTGGACCTGGCAACACTGGCTATGCGTGCGACGTGCTTTATAGCAAGGGCGAGCAACCTTTTTAACCCACGGGCCAATTTGGTTTTCAAAATTTTATGGCGGGCCGCACGTAGTTTATATATATATATACTAGCTGACCCGGCGAACGTTTAGCCACAAGAAATATTTTTAGAAAAACATCAGTATTAGAAATAACTAACTAATTCTGAACGTATAACTATATGGTATATAAATGAAAGGGGCAGCAGACACAAATTACATTGATAATTTACCCACTACAAAGCTAAAATACTAACATTCATATCTGAATTAGGTTATGCTGTTTAGCGAAACGAGTGAGATATCAATTACTCTGAAAAAAAATCAGTTTTCTCTCAGAAACAGTTTTATTTTCGGATTTTATTAGAAAGTTTTTAGTTTTTTTGCTAAAATTGCTCCTTCTGCAAGTCATTCAGCAACTATGTACTTCTAATGCACATCGGGAAATATTTGTCCAGTAGTTTATACTGCAAATCAGTTAGTTTTGTCGCCAATATTTAACTATTGTTTTTAAAATGTTGCAGCGAATAGAGCGAATAAATTTAAGCTTTTTTATAAGCTTAGAAAAATCTTAATCGAATTTCAATTAAAAACGTTAAAAACAATAAAGGCGAGAAGTTAAATGATTTATTGCCGAGCTAAATGAAAAATGATTGGACTACTAAAATGACTATTATAAAGTAATGGAAATTTGGAGTTGTATGTAGTTTTGCATTCCGCATTAAAAAAATTAAAATAAAGAACAAAATTTAGAAAAAAATGTTACGTTTGTACTACCCATAATAAATATAAATTGCTTTTTCTTTTTAAATAAAACTGAAGCTTTTTCATAACCTCAAAAGTCTGAACTAAAATTAAGTCAAATGTCTGAGCGCGGAAATAATGTAAAAAAGAACAAAAATACAAAATTGGAAAAAGTATATATTTTATATATTTATGAGTGTTTATAAATATTAATACAAAATGAAAACACATAATAGCTAAACAGAAAAACTAATTTACTTGAAAACTTTAATAAGAAATTTGGCATTGCTTTTTTTATATTAGCTGATCAATATCAGCCGTTTTTTTAAAAAAATTCTGTTCTTTATTTCATTTTTTTAATGCGGAAAGTAGCAACACGTATGCAGCTTTGATATGTTTCACTCAGTTTTGATAGGTGGTAATTTCTTATGAATTTCCTGGTTGAAATTAACACGGGTCCACAAAAAAGTTGTCTATATTGGGTATGTGACATATGTTTTCCGATGTATTTCCAATGTACTTTTACCGCTGAAGATAAATCTATAGTTAATTTAAAATTAAATATAATTAGTATTGTTAAATTGAATTTGAATAAAAATTAGAAGTAAGAAGAAAGCAAGAAAAATATTAGAATTAGAGAGATAAGAATTTTAAGTTAAATTTGAATTAAAAATTAGAAGTAAGAAGAAAAGGCAAGATTAGAATTTAAGAAGATCATCAATTAAGAAAGCTGTTAGAAGAATATTAAAATAGAATATATAGGCATGATAGAGTAGAATATATAAAGATGATATAGAATATAAATCAAATGTTGTCGGTGGCTAAATGCTCTGAATAATCAAAGAATATTGTGGTAATGCCTAATAATATACATTCACGCTTTTTTCGGCAATTTTCATTTTTTTCTATTTTTTCTATTTGTTTTTTCAAATTTATGTTCATAATTTCTTTCTAGCTCCCTTAATTTAAGTATTAAGACCCCATAATTCTCATACTAATAATTTTTTCTAGAATAAATGTTTTCAAATTTTGATATCACTACTGCTTGATATTGGGTCAAATGCAGAAATTGCAGCTGGAACATCAAAGTTGCCCAAATAATTTGTTCAATAATCATAAATAAAAATATTATTTTCAAATATAGAAGATGAAACTCCTATTTTGTTCAAATTTATATTAATAATTTCTTTGCAACTCTTCTAATTTAAGTTTTATAATATCGTAATTATTTTCATACTTTATTCTCTTTTTGATGCCGTTTTTTATTATTTTTCAGATTAGAGATTTAAGAAAATTTCGATAGGATATTAAAAGGATTTGTTACCGCAAGGAGCATTGCTTTATCATGGTTCAAGCAACCTCTCAAATTATTATTATAAGTGTGTGTTTTTTTTAAATTACTGTCAATTATATATCATAATTGTATTGTTCGGATTTATGTTGTTTTATTCTAATCCTGTGTCCAAATGAATATAAATAATTTTAATTAAAAATTGCCTACTCATGCTAAAATTGAATGTTCAGTATACTTATTGTTATTTACTGTACTGCTATGAAGTGATTATTTCTATTATATATATTTAAAAAAAATCACGAAATAAGTATCTGTTTAAGCATTTATTGATAATCTCTTTTTAACGCATCTTTTATGTAGTTTATGTTTAATTATTAAGAATTTTCGAGTTTGTTGATATCACATAAGTTCACATGGCTATAAAAATTTTAATTGTTTGTTTTGGTAGATAATGGACTAAATTATAGTCGCAATGTGGCAATCTTAATTACATTAATGATATTATTGTTTATATCAACACTGTACGCATTTAATTAGTGCACATATTGCAAGAATAGTTGACGCAGTTGGAGCAAAATGGGCGGTAGAACCAAAAATAATTATAATATTATAGTAATATTAATCACAAAGTATTGCAATAATATATTCTCAAATATTACTAGATTTATGTAAATGATCACCTGTCATCAATCTTTGGATTCACATTATTTGCATGATTCTTATCAATAAAATAGCTAGATTGCAATAAATTCTCAAAAATGTTAGATAGAGAATTAGAAAACAGCATTATAAATGAATAGAAATATAAAAAAATATAATACAAATATACATAATTACTAGCATGCACAATATGTTTTCTGGTCTAGATATAAAAAAGAAGGAGGATTGTATACGAGCTCAAAAAATCAACACTGCTCAACACACTTGAAAAATCAAAATGCTTATTAATTAAATTAAAGTTTAATATGAACTTTGATCTGTTTCATTTCATATCAATAAGTACGTTCATGGTAAATGCATTTAGTGGTAAAAAAATTTAAATGAATTGATTTTCACAGAATAAGTCTAATTTTCTTAAGGGGGTATTCTGGTCTAGAGGCATGATTTTTATGCGATTTTTGATAAAACAAAGGACGACAAAATTTTTACCATATTCTTTTTACATGTTATTAATTTATGTTTTGAGAATAAGAAATTTAAAATTATCATAAACTTTTAATCTTAGAAGGAGATGGGGGTTTAAAAAATTATCACCTGACCATACCCATGATTTTAGCGTATCGTATCAAAAAAGACAGTTTCAAGAAAAACGCATTTGAAATTTCGCAGAGAGCTCTATCTCAGAAAATGCTTTAAAAAAATTAGAACAAACCTATTGAATACATATTGTTGAACAGTTAATTTTTAACAATATGTGAAAAAAATAAAATCAATTTTTTTTTAATTCTAGGCCAGAATAGCTCCTTAACTTATATTAAAGTGTTCTTGTATAATTTAATGTTGCTTTGCATAATTACATTAATTTTGAAGTCAAATGTGAACAGTAAGCAAACTCCTGAACCAATATCGTTACCTTCCGGCCAAATCAAGCCAAATATAATGAGTAAAAGATCCAAAATATCAATTAAGTCAATATCAAATCAATACAATTCGAATATTAGAAATTTATAACCGTGGCCGCGTGCAAGAAAATCTGTGATCGTGAATCATCGAAGTCAGAACTCAGAAGATCTAAATATAAGATCGGAATTCATAAGCTCGTATGTGTCCATAAGTAGCGAGGGAGTCGCTCATCAGTATTTATTTCTAAAAATAACCACACATTATGTATATGGCATATATAGTACGGCACATGGAAACGTAAAATGCTACACACGATGTACGATGCCAGACTGCAAGAAATTACGTCAAACGACGCACATTCAGACGCACTAGGTAGGTAGGTAGTAGGTACATACATCTCGATGTTGACGA